CCACCTTAGGTGTATGTGGCTGGCGCCTTAGCCGCTTGAGCCACAGGCGCCGAGCTGGATATTCCAATTCTAATCTTTTAGGTATTTGGAAGTATACCCTAACTTATGGATTATAGTCATTTTGTTCTACTATCAAATATTGTTCATTCTACCTATTTTTACACAAACTAAACAACCCCACTTTACTCCCCTCTCCCCATTACTTAGCCTCTGGTAACTGTCATTCTGCTCTTTCTACTGCAAATGGCTGGATTTCATTCTTTTTTATGACTATATTTTACATATATGTACCACAATTTCTTTATCGATTCGTCTGTTGATGGACGCTGAGGTTGATTCCAAATCGTGGCTATTGTGAACAGTGCTGCAATGAACAGGAGCGTGCAGACACCCTTTTGATTGACTGAATCCCCATCTCTTGGATTTATGCCCAGCCGTGGGATTGCTCGGTCACATGGTATTTCTACCTTCAGTTTTTGAGGAAGCTCCATATTCTGTATAGAGGTTTGCAGTAATGCACATTCCCACCAACAGTGTAGAGGGTTCCCTTTCTCTACACCCTCACCCGCATTTGTTATTGCTTGTCATTTTGCTAAAAACCATGTAACTGGGATGATGAGATGGTATCTCACTGTAGTTTTGATCTACATTTCTCTGATGACTAATGATGTTGAGTATTTTTTCATTTACCTGTTGGCCCTTTATATGTCTTCTTTTGATAAATGTCATTTAGGAGTCTGCTTGGTTCTTTATTTTACTGTGGCTGAGCTGGTACAAAAGCTGCAGAACCAAATCCTCTGAGCTCTTCCCCTTCCTTCCCCCAGGTGGAAGAAGACTCTTCCTGAGCCATGATGCCTGGAGTTGGGGGACCCTGGTTTGGCTGCTTCTGCTGGTGCCTCACTGGGTCACCTGTACCCTGAGCCCCTGCCTTTGAGCCAGCACAGCCACAGGACTTGCTGAAGGACTGTAGCCTTTGTGCCCTGACAGCCTTACTCATTGAGTCCAGGCTTCAGACTACTTTCTGCTGGTTGGTGGTGTGGCTATCTGGAACTTGGGTTTCTAACACTAGGGCAGAGGATTTCTCCCCAGCCAGGCTGGTCTAAATGCTCCCTCCATGGGCACTGGCAGGATTTTGGGCTGTGCTCCCCTGTGCCAGGGCAGCCCTGCTGTCCAACATAGGTGCCCTTGGTCACTTCACTCTCCCTCCTTGGCACACACAGTCCCTCTCCAGTCAGCATGCTGGCATGGCACTGCCAGGGGACAGAGCAGGGGTGGCATAGGTGAGGCAAGATTGTCTTTTCCATCTTTTTTAGAGCTGCTTTCCTCAACACGAAGTTAAAACCAGGTGCTGTGGTTGCTCTCCTGACTTTTCATTCTTCTGAAGGTGCTTTCTTGAGTGGGTAGTTGTTAAATTTGGTGTTATTGTAGAGGGATGATTGCCAGAGGTTTCTATCTCCTTAGTACTTTTTTAAAAAATAGAGACAAGGTCTTGCCCAGGCTGGACACAAACTCATGGGCTCCTATGATCCTCCTGCCTCAGCCTCCCGAGTAGCTGGGAATACAGGTCCCCACCACAATGCTCAGCTAGTTTTCCCATTTTTAATAGGGACAGTATCTTGCTCTTGCTCAGGCTGGTCTCGAATTCCTGAGCTTAAGCAATCTACCCACCTCAGCCTCCCAGAACGCTAGGATTACAGGCATAAGCCATTGTGCCTGGCCTTACCACTTCACTTCTTGTGCAAGAAGTTTTCTGAAAGCCTTAAGATTTTTCCATCGGCCTCAACCATATAGAGGAGGGACAAGTAGGAATAGGGCAGGGTGGTGCAGGAATCGCGTGCTGATTGAATGTTTAACAGTCAGCTCTCTGGAGCCCTGACTTGTAGTGTTTGACAGTTTCTGTGTAAATACTCCCACCACGATCAATTTTAAACTATCAAGGGCTTAAATGGCTCACGAAATTCCTAAAACTTAAATAGTTGACTCTTCTGAGCTGACTTTAGCGCACCACTGGATCTACCTGCTTCTTTGTTTACTGATTGTTCCTCTTAAATAACAAGTGTTGTCTTCCCAACGTCATAAGTTCCCTACAGGGTGGAGTTATGTTCTAGATCTCCTGTGGGCCCATGGTTTCTAGCATGGTGGTAGAGACAGAAGTATTGCTTTAACTAAGGGAGGCTGCTTTCTGTGAGCATAATTGCTTTCTTGGAGCAACTGCAGCTGAACAGCCAACTGCAGGGAGGCTGTGCTGGGGTTGGAGTGGGCTGCACTTCCTTCCCACGCCTCAGGGAGGCAGTGCGTGGGAGAATACAGGAGCCACAGGGCACTCTCAGTGAGGAGCTGAGGCTCAAGGAATGTCAGAGCAGGGTTCTATCTATAAGAATTGAGCTCGGACTCATATCCAGATCTGATCCATCAATACACTTTGTATAGCTGACTGTACATGGTGTATACTTCAGTGATTAGAATGAAAGTTTCTCAAAATGAGCATCGGTAGCTTTCCTTGAGGACTGCCTATGAAAGCGCCAAGGACTCTGGATGAAAGGAATTAAAATAGCTACAGAGGTGCAACCTGACTGTACCACAGGGTGGGTGGAAGACTGAGTGGGCCAGAGAGCTCTGGGGGGACCTCAGGAAATAACCTTCCAGTGAGAAAGAAAAGGAGAGGAATGAAGATTAAGAGATGACAACTTCCACATGAATTTTTTTTCTTTCCCCAGGGTTGTTTTGGAATTGGGAGAGATTTGTCGAGGTGGATATTTCAACCATAGTAGAGAAAAGGCTATGGCAGCAACATGGCCCAGAGGTGGTCCGCAGCAGCCCCTGTGGCAGCCTGCGTTCTCTCCCCACTGGCAATCTTGACGTAGGAGATCAGATGTCCCAATGGCAAGGCGACACACAGCTCCCGGCTGTACATGTGGGGAGGATGTCCAGCTCTCCTCCGCATCTCATATTGGTCATGAATGTGTCACTGTGTTTTCTGACTATTATAAAAGTCATGGTGAAACTGGGGTAAGAGTGTTTATTCCTCATAAATGACAAGATATTTTGAGGAATTCTGGAATAATATATAACTGCCCAGAAATATTCTTTGAATCCAAATTCCTGGGGTATTTATAAAAATTGCCTCCATCTTCAGCCTTCCACTGAAATTTAAGAAAGGCTACCATGCACGTCAGGCATGTGTCTGCCCTGTGCATGCAGCTACTGGCAACGCCACAGTTACAGCATGGGTTGTGAGCAGATTTCGGAGTGGTGGTGGGGCTTATATGACCTATATACACTCTATTGTCCTTAGACTTAAGGGGCATTCGTTCTTCATTAATTCATTCAGCACTTACTGAATACATTCCAGGTACGGTGGGACATTGACTTTACAGTAAGACTTGATCCTTCATTTGCAATAAGCTTATAACCCACCAGGGGGAGCCAAAATCTATAAATAAGCCTAAAAATTAATGTTGAAAGTGCCAGAATAAAAGCTTATGGAAGGTGGGGGTGGGTATCAGAAAGAACTGGACAAATCTGCCTCAGGATTGGTCAGAAAAATTCTTTATAGGGAAGGTGACCCCGAACATGCATTTCTGAGGCCACTTACCCAGAATGAGGAGGCTGTGAGGACCTGACTGCTAGGCTTTGTGTATAGAGCTAATGGGGGTGACCCCAGATGGGACATTGGCTTGATTCATGCATATGCTCCATGACTACCCAGTTTGATGAAAAAAAGATCATGTGCCAGTGGATCCTTCAGAACACAACACACCCCATTGAAGCCAGAGCCACACATAAGCAAGGTCCGAGTTACACAGATTTTAAAAATTCTCTCTTCTCCTTTATTGCCACATTCATATAAAAAGTTCTGACATATTTGGGCTGGTAAAAGAAAGCCACAGTATATATAAAGAAAATTATAGGAAGTTAAAAAATATATGGTTTTAGTGTTTGGAAAAGCAGTTACAAATTCTTTCCCTGGTTTAATTATCCAAGCGATCGAAATTCTGGGTTTGAAACTCTTGGAAGTCCTCTGGGATGGTGTCTGCAAGAACAACAGGAAAGGTTAGGGAGGCTTCTTCCACCCTGGAATCCTGGTCCCTGGCATGCATTATGCAAGGAGGCCTGTAGGGGGCACTGTCAGCCTGCCAGGAGGCCCACAAGGTCCCCGCAGCCATTTTCTACTTCAGGCTGCTTTGCAAATTGTTGGCTTAAAGCCCAGGCGTGCTCATTCACAGGCCTAAAGAGAATCAGCAGGCAGAGTGGATTTTGAGTCTATGATCATATTTGTGCCATATGAAAATAAAGGCTGCCTGTAAATTAAACCTGACTGAATTCTTCACTGAACCCCAAACCTTAAACCATTCAGTTAAACTCTATGGATCCCAATTTCCACATATAATAAAACAGGGAAAATGAGATCTAGTTTTTACTTCTGTTACACAGGGACTATCAGGTTTTAATGAATATGTGGTGTGAGCATTGGGCTTTGGGGGGGGAACTGTGCTATAAAATAAGGTGGTATTGCTATCAAATAGGGATGCACGTTACCATTGCAGCGATACTTGAGGTTGGACCAGATGATATTTTCTTGAGAGAAGCAGAAGACACCAAGTCGGCCTCCACGCATTGTGGTGTCTATGGTGACGCCAGAGTCAGCCACCAACTCCGTGCCTTCATAAAATCGCACCCTGCAGACAACACAACCCTGGGTGAAGCACCCACTTCTTCATACACCTGCACCGGTATTCCATATGGACTTGGGTTGTGTTCTAGCTCTTCCTCCTTCCCTCCTAGATGGGAAGTCTCTGAGGGCGGGGACTGTGAGTGCCTGTCTCCCAAAAGGCCAAATGCAAAGTTGGGCACACAATCAAACTTGATAGGTACTAGCTGATGAGTGAAAAAGGAACAGCCTGCTGTCGTGAACGGGAGGCTTTGTGTCTTCATCGTCAGCTGAGTTACTCTGGCTGATATCGTGCTTTGAAACTTCTGCTTTTCCTTTGGGTTGATTCATATCAGGTGGTGGAATCTCAGAGCAGTGATTACCAACAGAAGACACCACTCCCTATGTAGGGTTTTAGAAGTATGGGGTACTTTGGGTTGTCACAGCAGCACTGAATGACAGAAGCCAGGGATGCTGGATGGCTTACAATGCCCTGGAGAGAATGATCAAAGCTTAGCCGGTGTCTCATACATGACTGGAGCGTCCTCCGGACAGCTGGGGTGAGCAGCCTGTTCATAACTACGGGGGCCCAGAACTAGCTCCCTTTTACTGTGAACAGCAAGTATGTTCTGCACTAATTTCAATGTCAACTTTATTTTCCAGGGTAAATTGAGAGACTACTCAATACTTTGTTTTGTTTTAAAATTAACATTCTAATATTTCGAATGTACACCATTTTGCAAATTCACATCACCATCGGCAATGCTATTGTAACATTAAGTCCCTGTCACAAAAAATCTGTATTCGAATGTCATCGTCAGAGTGATTCTAAGTACAGGTACAAGTGTCTATCTTATCTTTGGTTGTAGTTGGGTCCAAGTATTTACATTATTTTGTTGTAAATTAATTTATTCTTATTTCTCTATTATTAGCGCTTGGGCTGGTTTTCTAAATAGGTGGGTAGGTTATATTTTCTATAATTTCATTTTGGGACAGAAGAGGCGGCATTTCAAAACATTTGTTATAAACAAGGGGTATTAGGCTTCACAGGGTGTAAGGGACCACCTTACTCTGAGGCAGGGTACCTGTGACATAATGTCCCAAAGAAGAATGGAATAGGAATTAGCCTTCCCGGCTTTCTTTTCCCACCAGGCTGCCGCCTGCCCTGAGGAGGAGAACGCAGCCGTACTCCTCCCTAAATGTATTACATACGCCGCTTGGGTGTTGAGTGCAAGTCTGGGAAATGAAGAAGTAGTAACTGTCTAAATTTCAAAGTTGTAGCCCTAAGCCATCCTAACTCCTGAGAATACTTAAAAAAAAAAAGAGAAGTCCTATAAGGAGGCAGATTACAGAGGTCTCCTGAGGCTCAGTTCAGGCTGTGCTGTGTTGTCAGGCATCGTGCAAGGCCCTGCAGAGGCACGATGCTGCCCTCGTGGAGTTTGTGATCCAGTGGGGAAGATGGCTGTAAGGGCCTTAGTGCCTTCAGTGTGAATTATGCGCTACCAAGAGACTTCCCAGTGACAGGGGAGGGTGTGGGGAAGAGGCTCTTACCTCACATTGGTCCCTGTGGCCATACTCAGGCTTCTCTGCAGAGCATGGCAGAAAGGCACCACCCTTCAAGTGTACCAATCCCTCCAAACTGGATCCTACCTCCAAAGGCCCTTCTATCCCCACTTTGGCCCAACTGTCCAGGTGAGTGTTTTCTTCCCCAATGCTTTTCTGAACACCCTAGTCCAGTCACAGAGACCCTGGCATGTCCTTGAGGCCTTTCCAAGGTCAGGACTGCTCCAGAGAGTGGAGGCTGTGGGATGCAGAATGGGGTGTGTGGCTTGCTCCTAGTGCAAGGTGAGCAGACAGGTCCCCGCCTACCTGATGTAGCCCACCTGGGGCCTGTGCAAGGTGAGAAGATGGGTCCCTGCCTATCTGATGTAGCCCACCTGGGGCCTGCGCAAGGTGAGGAGACGGGTCCCCGCCTACCTGATGTAGCCCACATGGGGCCTGTGCAAGGTGAGCAGACGGGTCCCCGCCTACCTGATGTAGCCCACCTGAGGCCTGTGCAAGGTGAGGAGACGGGTCCCCACCTACCTGATGTAGCCCACCTGGGGCCTGTGCTGCAGGAACCAGCGGTATGACACCTTGTCCTTCCAGCCCACATTCCTGGAGTCCTTCCACAGCAGCCTGACCTGGTCACTGGTGTCCCCTGTGTGCCACAAGGAGTTCCGGAGATGCTCCCCTGGACCTGTCTTAGACTTCACGGCCTGGACAATGACACAGGCAAGGTTTTAGGACAGGATGCAGAGACCACCCTTCCTGCATACTGGATCTGAGCAGAGCAGTGGTGCTCAATTAACAGTGGTTACAAACTGGCTGCCTTGGAGTTGGACAAAACCATAAACACTTACAGGTCATTTCTATTGAGCCAACCTTTTATTGGCTAATATTCCACTGTGTTTTTCTTTCTGTAAATCCACTGCTTCTCAATTTTGCCCAATGAGAGTTCCCATGAAATGGACCGTCAGCCTTCCAGTACAAAGCTGGCCTCAGTGGCAAGACATAGTATTAGTCAGTTTCCAGCGTGCTTGAAACCCTCCTCGCCGTGACCCCACTCGGGCTGAAATTCCCACCACCAGTGGTCAGAACGTCACTAGTACATAGGAAAGAAGGCAAGGCCTTGGGTCAGCTCTACTCTTTCCTCACTTGACCACATCCGTTTCTTAGATTAAGTGCCATAGAGGAGAACACAGAATTTAAAAGAAGGGAGAAAAGCCCAGAAGACGGAGAGATGAGTGACTTCCAACCACCAATACCTTGAGCTGAATGCCGGGTTCCGCCACCGCTCGGAACGGTGTGGCCTGCCAGTACGTCTGCTCCGTCTGCTTCCACATGACCACGTAGAAGCTGGAGCTGTCTTGGTAGCCAAAGATAAAGCCTGCATAGTCGTCATCTGTCTGGGTGTTCACATGGAAGGTCCCTTCGAAGTCAACGCCATTAAAAGCTGTGTAGCCTGTTGGGATCAGATAAGATGAGAAATACAGACAAGCCATACCAATAGCTGGAAGAACTCTACACATGTGGGAGCCGAGGCCCTGGACATACCCACTGCCAGGCCAGGGTCGCTGTTCATGGTCTGCACGATCTCCATGCCCTGCAGAGAGAGTTGAGGGAGGTCAGAACACTCTTAAAGGGGGCCAAGCAAACTTGGGGAAGCCCAGAACCCCAGGCACTATGGGTTGAGTGGCCAATGAAGTCTGACTTCCACGTAAGGATTTCATTACTGAGCAGTCACTCTATCTTGTCATGTGCTCAAAACAAACTTGTAAAAGAAGGTTTAAAAAATCCCAAAAGTTGAATAGAAATAATTTCTAAGACTGTCACTTAAGCTGATTTGATAAACTCACACTGGGGAACATACAACACACACTTCACTGACTGTGGCTTGCTGTCTGGGAAGTCTGCCAGGCCTCCTGGGCCAGCCTTTCTTAGTTACCCAGTGATCAGGGTGGGCCGTGGGCAGTCTGCTGGAGAGGTTAGGAGCATGGATACTGGGATCGGACTGCCTGGGTCCCGATTCCAGGCATCTTAGCTGCTTGCTGCTATGCTACCGTGAGCAAACTTAAAGCTTGTAAGACTATTTCCTCATCTGTAAAATGGGCAGAATAAAAAACCCATGTCACAGGGCTATTGAGGAAGGACTGATGTGAACAGTGGCTGGCCCGTGGTCAGTACCCTCTAAATGTTACCTGTAGCTATCAGGAGTGCCTCAGTTGAGAGGCAAAGCTGAGCTGTTGCCCACTGTGTGGCACTCACCTGATTTAGGACCACCCAGTTGGGATCAATCTGGGCGTCCCCTTCGGGATCCAGCACCACAGTCTGGTAGGCCCTGAAGTCGGTCAGGGTGACCTCTGCGTTCTCTGGGCAGACATCGATCCGATCAATGACCTGGTCCTGATCGAAGTCAGTCTCACAGATGTCTCCCACGCCATCACCTGAGTGGGGTGAGAGGGCGTAGAGGCTCAGTAGAGCCTGTGTCCACCCACTCCTCATCAGACAGGGGCTGGGCGAGGAACAGAAGAGCTTGGGCTTGGGCTCCCACAGCCAGGGCCATGATCTTCAACCAGTGCTAGGAGAGGAACGCTAGGATCAGTCATGTCTGCTGGCCCTGGGCCCTGTCCTGGGGTCCTTGTGGTGGGTGACCAGGCCAGCCCAGCCCATGGAGGACACCCAGAGAGTCTTGTGAGACCCATCTGAACAGCTGCCCCCCACTCCATCCCAGGAAATTCTTGTTACAGACACTTGGATTCACTAAGTGGTGGATCATTAGCCTGACCTTCCTCACATACCTACAGAACTTTCTAGACTATAAGGTATAAAAAGCAGAGACGTTCTTACTGTTACCAGAGTATCTCTCTAGACTGTAACTTCTGGTGGCCCTAGGCTGAGTGGCCCACAAGCATGTTTTGTTCAACTCCATGATGGCACTGAAGCATCTGCATGTCTGTGCCAGGCACACTCTCTCCCCGTCACTCAGTGCCCACCACTCCTGCCTTCCTACAGCCGGGCTGGTGCACATTTCTGTATCTGCCTGGCCTCATAGGCAAGTGAGTTGGGTCGGCACCATTTTCTCCCCCTGCTCCTTTTCTGGGACTCCCAGTGGAGGGAGCAAGCAAGACAGAGGAGCAGCGTACCCAAGGCCCTTGGGGACTGAGCTGTGGCATGTGGCTGCTCAGAAAGACGCAAAGCAGCTCAGCTGTGAGGGAGTGGGAGGCTGGTTTCTACCAGATGTCCACCGTCTACACAGGCTCAGCCAGGCAGAGAAGCTGGGGGTGCTCTGGGCAGGTGCCGGGGAGAGGTGTGTCCCCAGGCGGATGGAAGCCTGGGGGAGCCGCCTAGCCCAGGGAAAGGCTGAGCCGCTCACTGTTGCTGTCCTCCTGGGCTGGGTTGGGGACCAGCCGGCAGTTGTCTGGTCCAGGGGGCACCAGGTCTGGGATGCCATCGTTGTCATCATCATCGTCACACTCATCACCAATCCCATCCTTATCGGTGTCCAGCTGGGCACTGTTGATGACGGTGGGGCAGTTGTCTGTGCTGTCCTGATGCCCATCTCCATCACTGCAGACGTAAGGAGAGGTGGTTGGGATTGCAGTTCAGTAGGGAAGAGGAAGCATCCGTTCTCAGGAAGGGGAGTTTGAGGTCTCTTACCAGGCTTGGTTTTTTCTTTTTTTTAAATCAAACCCACTGGGGTCTTTCCCTTAGATAAGGGTGTCTAATGGGCCTCAGAGACAATTTCCCCACTTCCTTAACCTCTTGAGACGAGTGAGTCATTTCCTACTCAAGCAGATAAGGGTCTGTTTCTGTATTTATGATCAGAGGCTCCCATCAGTCCCTGGGAACTGCCAGATGACACCCAGCTCAGAGGATGTGTGAAGTTCGGAAGAGGGTGAGGGGCAGTGGAACCAGAGTGCCCCGGTGTAAATCCTGGCTCAGCCCCTGACCAGCGTGTGACCCCAGGCATGACCCATGACCTCTCTCTATGGCTCGGTGTACTCATCGCTAAAATGGGCATAATGTTAACATCCACCTAATAGGGTTGTTATGAAGACTGCATGGTTTGCATATCAATTTTTTTTTTCCCTGAGACAAGAGTCTCACTTTGTCACCCAGGTAGAGTGCTCTGGCATCATAGCTCACAGCAACCTCAAATTCTTGGATTCAAGAGATCCTCTTGCAGGCCGGGCGCAGTGGCTCACGCCTGTAATCCTAGCATTCTGGGAGGCCCAGGTAGTGACTTGCCTGAGCTCACGAGTTCCAGGCCAGCCTGAGCCAGAGCAAGCTCTCGTCTCTAAAAATAGCCGGGTGTTGTGGCAGGCACCTATAGTCCCAGCTACTTGAGAAGCTGAGGCAAGAGAATTGCTTGAGCCCAAGAGTTTGAGGTTGCTGTGAGCTGTGATGCCATGGCATTCTATTGGGGGCAACAAAGTGAGATTCTGTCGCAAAACAAAACAAAAAAGAAACATTTTCTTGCCTCAGCCTTTTCAGTAGCTGGGACTATAGGTGTGCACTACCACACCCTGCTAGTTTTTCTATTTTTAGTAAAGATGGGGTCTTGCTCTTGCTCAGGCTGGTCTCAAACTCTTGAGTTCAAGCAGTCCACTCTCCTTGGCCTCCCAGAGTGCTAGGATTACAGGGTGAGCCACTGTGCCGGGCATATTAAAAATTAATGCATGCAAAAGCACTTCCCATGTACCTGACTCTCAGGAGGCCCCACCATGTTTTGTGTGGTGTTGCTGCTCACCATCCCTGGCTGGTGGACCCAGCGAGGACTCAGACCTGACTGCTGTGGGGAGAATGGCAGAGAGAAAAGGCCACCCCTTCCTGAGAGGGGCCATGCAGGCTGGGCTCAGTGCTGGTCTAGGGACTGGCTCAGAACTCTGCTCTCTGTCCACTAACTCTCCAGGCTGAAGGGCCACCTGAAGATAAAAGTCTTTCCTGTGCCCAGAGGCCTCCCTGAGGCTGCAGAGACCACTTGGCTGCTCGGGTCAGAGCAAACGCTCCTCTGCTGTTTGTTAGTCTTTTCTACTTTCTGGTAGCCAGGAGGTCTAAACGCTCATTAAGTCTCTACCTCTGGTGGGTTTAAATGCTCATTAAGGAAATAGAATAACACTTGTCTTTCTCTACCTTTGCTGCGTCTAGACATTCCTCAGCCACAAAATAGGACATGCCCTGTTTCTTCTGGTTCTGTTAAACATTCCTTCCAGGTTGTAGAAGATCTACAGCGGATAACCCTCCGACCTTTCATAAAGCTTTTGGTCTTTTATGCCACATTCTGAGTTATTGGGTTTTGCCTGGCACCCCCACCAGGTCCTGAACTGCACATATATCCCTTCCTGAATGGTGCCAGGATGTTCATCAAACAGGACTCAACCTGCAAAAAGAGCTCCCTTACCCTAACTGGAGGCTGTTGCCATCTTCAGTGGCAGCCCGTCTGCTTGCAGATGGTCTTAATAAATCCCTGCTATTAACTCTACTTAGCGCGCCTTCAACTTTCGAGTCTACCATCAAACACAGTTCCATGTGCAGCCTGTCTGGGGTCAGGCACTGTCCCTATACCCTCTAGGAGAGTACGGAGGAGGGAAGCTGGGGACCAAACCCTGCCCTCCAGGCCACACCTTCCAGATGGGTACAGGGGACACAGGGGCCCAGAGAAAGTGAGGACAACCTGGACCAGCAGATGACACAGCTCCAACAGCAGAATTCCTATGCACACAGCAGGGCTGCTTTAGAGAGCACAAGACTGAGCTGTTTCTATCAGCAGCTATTCTTTATAGCCTTGAACATTTTTATACCAAAAAAAAAAAAAAAGCAGTCCCTGTCCTCCTCCCCAAGGCTCAAGTTTGTGGGAATTAAAATGGAGAATGAGTCATTTGTTTTAGGCAACTATCTCAAGGCTAGAGGGACAGACTATCTTAGAAATTACTGTCGATGGCAAACCGAGTGCAGGGTGACCTGCCACAGGGAATGTTCTTGATGTGCACCATGTAGGGCAGTCGTCAGGGCACCAGTCCCACCTCCCCCTCAGGAGGGGATAGAGACATTCCCTGTCAGACCATCATTGACGTGTCCCTCCCATGTTGTGAAACCAGTAATAACACAGCCACTATTCTCTGCGGGTCACCTGAGAGCCAGCACTGTGCTGGGAGCTTTCCCTCCATTATTGTGCATTTTCATCATAACCTGTGAGATGTCTTTAATTACCTCTGGCTTGCAGAGGGAGAAGTTGAAACTCTAAGGGAAATACATTCACGTTCACTCAGCTAGTACAGTTAGCCCTGTGTATCACAGCTCCACATCCACAGAGAAAAATATGTGGAGAAAACCCTGATAAAAAATAATGATACAACAATAAAAATACAAATCAAAAGCACAGTACAACAACTATTTACACCACATTTACATTGTATTAGGTGTTAAGTGATCTAGAGCTATTTAAAGTATGCAGGAGGACGTGCAGAGGTTACATGCAATACTACACTGTTCTATAAAAGGGACTTGAGCAGCTGTGGATTTTGGTATCTCCAGGGGTCCTGGAACCAATCCCCTGTGGACACCATGGGCCAACTACACACTTCGGAGCAGGGACATAGAGCATAATGAAGGAGATGGGACCTGACAGGAGCTGCCTTTGAGTAAGATTTGGGGTGATAAATCCCTGCTATTAACTCTACTTAGCGCACCTTCAACTTTCGAGTCTACCATCAAACACAGTTCCATGTGCAGCCTGTCTGGGGTCAGGCACTGTCCCTATACCCTCTAGGAGAGTACGGAGGTTTCTGTAGGGCAACCTCTGATCCTGGCATTAGAAGAAAACATCTTTTAGCAGCTACATCTTTTCCTGCTTTGCTTTTAGAACCTTTCCCTCTCATCCCTGACCTGGCTGCCTGTCTAAGAATGTGCGGCACAGGTCTATGTTTTTGGTGATGTTCCTACACTGGATGGTCCAGCCTGTGTCTTTTTTTTTTTTTTTTTTTTTTTTTGAGACAGAGCCTCAAGCTATCCCCCTGGGTAGAGTGCTATGGCATCATGCTCACAGCAACCTCCAACTCCTGGGCTCAAGCGAGTCTCCTGCCTCAGCCTCCCAAGTAGCTGGGACTACAGGCGCCCGCCACAACGCCCCGCCATTTGTTTGGTTGCAGCCATCATTGTTGTTTGGCGGGCCCGGGCTGGGGATTCGAACCCACCACCTTAGGTGTATGTGGCTGGCGCCTTAGCCGCTTGAGCCACAGGCGCCGAGCCCAGCCTGTGTCTTAATGCGGGACTCCATCTTGCTGGGCCAGGAGGGCTGACAAAATTCACTTGCATAGAACAATTCCATGGGAATAAGGGCAACTGAATGAAAACACTTCAAGGACAATGAAATAATAGTGATCCCTCTACAAACTGACAGCATTCTATTTTGGGAGGATGGTGACGTTTTCGTGAACTGAAAGAACAGAATAATAAAAGAGTGAATATTGACTGAGTGCTACATAAATAACAGACAGCATAAGAAATACTTTTTGTGGATTAACTCAATCTTCATGGGACATGTGAGCTAGATAGATCATTTTACAGATGTAAAAATTAAGGCACAGAGTAGTAATTTTCCTAAGAGTTATCCAGCTTGTAAGAAGGGGACATGAGATTTCTATTTTTTTTTTTTTGTTGTTGTTGTTGTTGCAGATTTTGGCCAGGGTTGGGTTTGAACCCACTACCTATGGTATATGGGGCTGGCGCCCTACTCCTTGAGCCACAGGCACCGCCCCCGGACATGAGATTTCTATGTAGCAGTCTCACTCCAGAGTCTGTCTGTGAAGCATAACACTCCACTGGCCTCCTGTAATAGACTCCATTTGCTGGCATGCCTAGTAACCACCTGACACCATCAGCCCCTACACGGGACTTTCATGGTAACCCTAAGCAGAGGCAGGACCATTGTCCTTCCATCCACCCACAGAAATCCCCCAGCATGGGAAGTGGTGGGAGAAGGCCCTGAAAGTTTCAAACTCTCTCTGGATTTTACATCTGACTCCCTGCAGCTGGGAGATGTGCCATACCTGTCCTGATTGGTGTCACAGGAGTCCCCAACAAGGTCATTATCCACATCAGACTGAAAAGAGAACAGAATATGTTGTTATTTATCCCTGGGCCTGCACGTACAGAGTGTTCCAGAGACGGCAGACCTGGCCTGTCATCACTAGATTTCAGGAATTATTTCTCTGGAACTGGGGTGGTGCAAAACTGCAAAAGGACAACACCATATTGGTGTAGGCACAATGCTGAATTTTCAAAAAGCCTTCTGAAATATCAAGCTGCTTGGATGGGCTGCCCACACACCAGATGAGCTGGTTGGACAGGGGTGGCATGGTGGCAGGTCACAGGCATGGGGAGATAAGGCAAATTGATATTGCTTTACTTCGGCAATTTGGAATTAGGCCAAAATGGTAAGTGAGTCACAGAGGGCAACCATGACTCCCTTCTCTTGGGGATCTCAAAATAAATGACATATCACACTCAAAACAAATGACTTATCCAGACTGGGAGGGGGAGTGAGAAGGGAAACGAGACATGTCACTGAACTCAGTTGGAAATGTCCATACATGGGCTGTCCACAGCTTTGGGGACTAAAGGGACATGGTCTCCCAATGGTTAATTTCCATGTTCCATTTTCTTTTCAGCATAAAAGCCTTGTTTGGGGCGTGATGAAGCTCATGTTACTAACCTGGTAGGTACTCAGCAGCCTGGGGTATTAGTCCCCAGGTCCTCAGATCTCCTGTAGGGATCATCCCATTATCTTCATGCCTAATGGGTATGGTTGCTCCCCCTCTCTGCTAGGTAAGTGGTAACAGCAAAGACCTGCCTGACAGGCTCGGTTGTGTTTCTAGACACTGGTGTAAACGGGGTTTTGCATGGGGGAGTTCAGTGTTGGGCTTGAATGCCCCTGTTCCCCACTAACCTGGTTAGGGTTGCTGACGTCAGGACAACTGTCACAGGCATCCCCCACACCATCACCATCCCTGTCCCGCTGGTCACGATTGGGAACTTTTGGACAGTTGTCCAAAATGTTTTTTATTCCTGTGGGAAAGAAATGCTACAATGGGTCAGGGGAATGTCACGGACTTCTTGGTGCTATGGAGCTCAGGCATGTGGGGAGTTCCCCCTGCTGGGCCATCATCACATGGGCACTACCCCTTTTAGCAGTTATCAGGAGGTGACTTCAAAGGATGGATTCTGGGGGACTTAAAAATGAACAGCTCTCAGAGGCATCAATCCAATGAATTCTAATTTAAGATGTCAAGGGCCATGCCAGCAACCAGAGGAGGGGTCACAATGGCCAGGTAGATGGGCCCTGCAGAGGGAGGCCCTCACGGATATCTGAGCTATGACCGAGACCCCACAGCTCTCGGCAGGGTTGTGCTGGAGCTGGGCCCACAGAGTCTCCTCTCTTTTTAATTTTGCGTTCAACAATGTCGTATCGGTCACTTGAAATCAGCAGTGGTGCCAGTGCCTAGTTACACTGTGGCAAATGTTACATGTTGGGCCTGGTTTACCAGCACACCACGGGATCTGGGTCATTGGTCAGGCTCACTGAAGGTGAGATCATGTTTTAGGGGCATTCTGGAGTGCGTTTGGGGCGGGGTGGTATTTCTCCTTCAAAGATCCTTGATGTGTGTGCAGACTGTGGCCCTGCTGAAACTCCTCTTATCCACTTCCCCACCTCCAGGTCCCTCACATCTGAAAAGGGTGGTGGGGAGTGGGGTGGATGTAGCTGGGGAAGGCCCATGCCCTAAAGACACACCCTGAGGGGACACAGAGTAGGGGAGTGGGCTGCGAACGCTCCTTCCCACACATGTCCACCGTGGGCCCTCCAGATGCAGTCCGCAGTGAGTCACCCAGAGCGGGAAGGCCTTGAGGCAGCAGCTCTATTCCCACTCTCAGAGAACAAGGGCAAAAGGACCAATGAATCCCCAGTAAAAGACAAAGCAGGACAAACCGACCATCTCCATCCATGTCATCATCACAGGCGTCTCCTTTCCCGTCCCCATCAGTGTCTTTCTGGTCATTATTTATGACATTGATGCAGTTATCACAGGCGTCCCCAAAGATATCTTTATCACTGTTTCTCTGGTCCACATTGTGAGTCAGGACGCAGTTATCCTAAGAGCAGAGCAGATAGAGCACTCACTCAGATGTTTACGGAATCCACTTCTCCCACCACTGAGTTGTCAGAACTCTAGTGCCCCAAGTTTTTCAGTTTTATATTTTAAATATTTGTGAATCTCACAGGGTAAAAAGGCACAGTGCTATGGGAATGCAGGCGAGGAAACTCATGTTTCAGGTGGTTCATATAAATAGCTTCAAGGCTTTCTTCCCTCCTCCCTGATATGTGGCAACTCACAGTCCCTGCCCCCCAGCAAGCACCTGCTCGTTGAGGATGCCGTCGCCATCAGCATCCTCATCACAAGCGTCCCCGATGCCATCTCCGTCTGCATCTTCTTGGCCAGAATTTGGCACATACTTGCAGTTGTCCTGGGGGGAATTGAGGGAGAAACACAGCTCAGAGTGATACCCCCCATGTGTCTTAAGTCAAGAACAATTTTTGGCCTCAGGACGGAAGGATTGCTGCTTGGCTTTATTATCAGTGGCTGTTTTGCTTGATTTGAGATGCAGCCACTTAAAAAGTGTAATTTTAAAGGAGAGCAACGGAACTTCTCCCCCACAAAGGCTGGGACTTTGCAAAGCTGCAGAGTGTGGACCTCCCCCCTTACCTTCTTGCAGTTCCTGGCAGAGCATGGCAGCTGCTCGTCGGGGTAACCGTCAATGTCCACATCCTTTCCACAGATGTAGCCATCACCAGCCCAGCCGACTCCGCACTGTGAAGGGAAAGCCCATCAGAGGAAGTGGAGCCTGGCAGGGAGGCTGGAGGCTGACAGGGCCTCCGCTCCCTGTGTGCACACGTCCAGAGGAGGGCCCAGAGAGACAGCATCGTTGGGAGGGATTTAAAAACTAATTGTATTTGAATAATCTAATGGTTCAAAGGTCAAAAAATACAAAGGGAAATGTATATAGAAAACTCTCCTTCCCACTCCTGCCCTCGCCACCCCCCCGGGCTGGCAGAGCCTTGTGGAAGGAAGACAGGAGCAGGGGACCCAGAACATGACAGGGCACTGGAAATGCAGAGGGAGGAAGAGGTGACCTGTGACAGGAGGGGAGAGGAGAGGAGGGGGAGGGAGTGTGAGGAGCAGAGTGAGGGCCAAGAGAAGACACACTTTACAGGAGTACATGGTACATTTCCTGGCCTCTCTAATCAGAATAAGGTGCTGTCAGAGTGGTGACATCCCAGGCCACCATCAGCGCTTGCCCTCTGGAACCAGAGCTCGGGAAGGCGCGATTCCAGGGACGCCCCTCCCAACGCCCCTGTTCCAGCTCTGTTGCTTCGGTGGCCCCTGTACAAGGCCTGGGAGGCTCTGCTGTGAGGTACAGTCCTTGACTCATTTTAATGAGGAAAAAATTTCCTCTAGGAATGAATACATTTTTAATGAGCCATTTTCTGGTGGATTAAATTATTTTAGTAGTCACACCAAGTTTATTAATCCTTTACCATCTGTCGTTGTGCTGTGTTACAAATTCAAAAACATATTAAGAGCCTGCATCCCAGGGGAGTCATCAGTTTGTTCAGAGAAAATGAGAATTTAAACAGAGAGATACGCTTGTTTCTCTGCGAGTGTGTTGGTCATAAACACGCCAATCACAAGCATTAGGGAAACGGCTGGGGGTTTTCTCCCTTGAAGCCAGTGTATTTCTTCACAGTGACCTTGTTACAGAGTATCTGTGTTATGAGGGAGAGTTGACTTTATCATATTTACTTATTTTTTTACTTGTTTTTGACTCTTATTTTTCCAATCTCAAAAGTGATATGCTTATTGCAGAAAATTTTGCACACATAAGATAAGGAAGTCTAGGTTTGAGATATAAACAAAAGGAACAAGGTCTCCCGGAGTCCGTCCTGCTGCTCAGGGTGATCACAGGGGCCTGGGGATCCCAGACTCTGGAGAGTGGCCTGCTGACTTGTGAGACTCTGGATCCTAGGATCCTGGGGCATGGAGGGTGGAGATGAGCCTTCCTCATGTGGGGCCCACTACAGGCTTGGTGTGAACCGTGTCAGGCCAGGGTGCTGGGCTGTCTTCCCAGCCTCCTCCTCCTGGGTCCAGCTCCGGGGTGGAGAAGGCACAGGCAGTGCAACCATTCACTAAGCTGCCTGGATTCAGGGGCAAGGACAGAGAAGGGCAGCGTCTGCCCCCTTCCACTTCCCTCTGGGAGACAGGAGGTTTCTCTGTGAGGGTTTATGACAGTCCCTGACTCTCTGCTGTGACCCACCTGGGAATAATAGGCCAGAAGGACACAGGGAGTGGCAGGGTGAGGACAGTCAGAAATGACAGTGGGCACACTTGTAAATGATGCAAACAGGTAGATGGGGCCAGAGAAGGAAAGGAGAGAGGGGGCTCCTTCCCCTCCCCCCCACTGCTTCTTAGGCCTTTCCATGGAAAGTACGCGGCGGGGGCTGCACTGCAGGCTCCCTAAGTGGGTGGTGTCACCCCATGGCCATGAGGGAGAGAGAAGGCAGCTGATGGCTAGATGGACTTCAGACTGCTCCCCCATACCCCACAAACTCAGCTGCCCATGTTACTGTCACCTCTGTGCGCATGTAGCCTGCAGTGCTGTCACTGTGGAGTGCTTCTACCTGACAAGGAGAAACCGCAGAGGGGTGGTGAGGGGGGCTGCCCTCACCACTAACAGGCACCATGTAAGGGTATATGGCACACATCATGTCCTGTGGGTGCAGGACACGACTACCAACAAAGGCAAACACTCACGTTAACATGAAATTTAAAACAAACCACGGAGGTGGAAAAGCGACAGAGCAAGTCGCGGAGGGACTCACCACGCACGTCACGTCCCCCTGCCTCTCTTCAATGCACTGCGCGTTCACGCTGCAAGGGTTCAGTTCCGGATTTCTGCAGTTTCTTTCGGTTTTGCACCCCCTCGTCTGGTCGCCAGTGTACCCTGGCTTACAAGGCCCACAGCGATAGGATCCCTGCAAGGACAAGGAGAAGACGATGAACCGGGGACCAAAACTACAGGCCAAGGATCTGTGACTGTGCGTGTTTTCACGCATGCTCAGGACACCAGGTCAGTGAGACCCACGCCTGCCTCTCTGCTTTCATGTCGGTTGTACAAGACCTTGTGAATGTTGGTGAAAAATCCTTGTGCTCAGACAGTGACAGGATAAAAGGCAGGGTGGAAGAAGGCTGGGTAGTGAAATGATGGCGCTGGCTCACCGAATCCAACCTGGCGGCCAGGGTTCCAGAAAAGGCTGGGAGTTCCAACCATGTCCCAGCAGGTGGAGTGAGAGGCTCTCTCTGGGAGCAGGGAGGTGATGTGATTAAAATGCAAGTTATTAGGTTTTTTTCTGTTCTTTTGGCTCTTCTACAGTTGAATGACAAAGGAACAGGCACAGAGAAATGCTGGTGGCTCACACTGAGAATTCTGCTGCTATGGAGAAACTTGGTAAACGGCTGTCAGCTGCACTGCCACGACACTCCAGGGACTGGCCAAGAACTCTCTCTCTCTTTTTAAAACAGCTTAAAATTAAAATGCTTATTTTTATTCTTAATTTTTCAGCTCTACTAAGGTATAATTGACAAATAAAATTGTATATACTTAAAGCGTATCGTGTAATGATGTGATATACATATACATTGTGAAATGATTACCATAGTTAATTAACACATCCGTCATTGACACAGTTACCTTCTTTTTTCTAGAATACTTAAGATCCACTCTTTGGCAAAATTCGAGTATATGACACAGGGTTATTAACTATAATCACCCATGCTGTACATAGATAGTGGGAATTTATTCACCTTCTACAGCTTTACTGAGATAAAATTTACATGTCATAAAACATACCTACTTAAAAGTACACAGTTCAATGATTTTAGTCACTCAAGACCTCTTTTTTGGGGGGTGGGGAGAGTCTTGCTTTGTCACCCTGGAGAGAGTGCTGTGGTATCATAGCTCACAGTAACCTCAAACTCTTGGGCTCAAGCAATCCTCTTACCTCAGCCTTCCTAGTAGCTGCGACTACAAGCGCCCTCCACAGTGCCCACCTAGTTTTTAGAGATAGGGTCTCGCTCTTGCTCAGGCTGGTCTCGAATTTGTGAGCTCAAGCAATCCACCTGCCTTGGCCTCCCAGAGTGCTAGGATTACAGGAGTGAGCCACTAAGCCCAGCCTCCCCTTTTTTTTTAAAATTTGAGACAAAGTCTTACTCTGTTGCCCTAGGTAGAGTACCATGGCATCATACATAGCTCACAGCAACCTCAAACTCTTGGGTTCAAGTGATCCTCATACCCTAACCTTCTGAGTAGCTGGGACTACAGGCACTTGCCAGAATGCCCAGCTGGTTTATTTTTAGTAGAGACAGGGTCTCATCTTGCTCGGGCTGGTCTCAAAATTTCAAGCAGTCCACCTGCCTTGGCCTCCCGGCACTCAAGACCTCTTAATTGTTAAGTCCAGAGAACACTTTCTGATGATCTTTCTCCATCTGTCAGCCTCACTGGACATGTTGCCAGCTCCCTCCTTTTCTTGGGTTTGTATTCTTTGCTTTTTACCTACTCCTTCATCTGGGGGCTCCCTGGAGTACCAGCTAGCCTTGGTCGGTCTATGTTACTTCTCTCTGGGCGGCTTGCTTATTATCTTCATACCAATGTCTCAGAGCAAAGCTAAGAAGTAGCCAGGCATGGTGGCTTGGGCCTGTAATCCTAGCACTTTGGGAGGTTGAGGTGGGATCACTTGAGGCCAGGAGTTTGAGACCAGCCTGGGCAACAGCAAGACTCTGTCTTTACAGAAAATAGAACAATTAGCTGGGCATGTGGCAGGAGCCTATAGTCCCATCTGCTTGAAAGGCTGAGGTAGAAAGTTTGCTTGAGCTCAGGAGTTAGAGGTTGCAGTGAGCTTGCATCATAGTGATGACATTATTATGCACTAGCTATGATGAGCTAGTGATGACTGTGCTTTGGCTTAGGTGACACAGTGAAACTGTCTCAAAAAAAAAAAAAAAGTGCAGGAGCACTAAATCTCTGTATATTCCTAAACGGTGTAGCATTGTGGAGAAGAACTCAGGCTCTGTAGCCAGACTGGAAGTCTCACAGGATGTGTGACCTTAGTCTTATTGTATTTCTGTGCCTGTTTCTTCAATTGTAAAACAGAGATAATAGTGCCTGTTCATAGGGTCATTGTAAGGATTAAAATAAATGACTTGATATTTGTAAAGTACTTTTCCTAACAAGAAAACAAGGAACCTAAGCATTAAATAACTTTCCCAGAGACATACGCTAACTTAAAAATAGTGTTCTTTTGTTGATAAAAAATTAAGCAAATTAACTCTGCTACATCTTTCATCTTGGACACAGTTGACAGGTACTTTTAAAAATAAAACCCATATCTGAACATTTAAGTTATAGACAACCCTGAGTGCTAAGCACCTTAACTTAATATAATACAAATGGCTTTTGAGATGTTTTATGAACATGAATATTACCACTTGGGGACTTGTAGTCACTGGTAAAATACTGGATTATTCATATACACTACCAAGCTCTTCATCATTTTAAAATACAAGGGGTAACATTTTATTCAACAAATGTCATCTAAGAACCTACCATTGCCACTTTGATAGAAGATAAAAAACTTGGCACTTACGAAATTATTCTTTTTTTTTGAGACAGAGCCTCAAGCTATCCCCCTGGGTAGAGTGTTGTGGCATCACAGCTCACAGCAACCTCCAAGTCCTGGGCTCAAGTGAGTCTCCTGCCTCTGCCTCCCAAGTAGCTGGGACCACAGGCGCCTGCCACAATGTCTGGCTATTTTTTTAAAATTTTTTAAATTTTTTTTTTTTTTTGAGACAGAGCCTCAAGCTGTCCCCCTGGGTAGAGTGCCGGTGGCATCACAGCTCACAGCAACCTCCAACTCCTGGGCTCAAGTGAGTCTCCTGCCTCTGCCTCCCATGTAGCTGGGACCACAGGCGCCCACCACAACACCCAGCTATCTCTTGGTTGCAGCCATCATTGTTGTTTGGTGGGCACGGGCTGGATTTGAACCCGCCACCTTAGGTGTATGTGGCTGGCGCCTTAGCCACTTGAGCCACAGGCACTGAGCCACGAAATTATTCTTATATAAAAATGACTTACATAATTACTTTCCTTTTAAACACTATTTTAGCACAAATTCTTACCCTTCGTCTGCCAACCAAATATATTATGTCAATATGTTCTATGTATGTTTAGGGTTATTATCTATAAACCATACACTTGTTTTAATATCTGGTTCTTCTTCCATAACAGCTGTGAGAAATACTCACCAAAGTGTTGACGCAGATAGAATTGAGAACGCAGGCTCCATTCCGACACTCGTCAATATCAGTGCAGACCTAGTGTGGAAAAGTTTAAAGAAAGCCCTGAGTGACGTGCTGATTAAGTAAGAATGCAAACGCATTTCCTTTGTTTTTATATCTTTGTGCGAAGTGAAGACACAGAATTTCAGGTAGAATGGTAATCTGAGGGTTATTTTTGCCATCTCTCTGCACTTGTACCAACTTAAATATACTTGATCTAATTGCAAATAATAATTACCTTCATGGTACTTAAAACTGTCTAGAAAACACAACTTGCATAATTCACCTGTTTCACAACGTTTTCGTTAGGAAAGTTTTTATCCAGCTTTAGATGCAACATACTCTTCCATCTGACGATGCCTATCTTTCTTTATTTCTGAAAAATTCTAAGCCTCCCTCTATTCCTTTCTACTCTTTCTTTGGAACAATAAGATGAATATTGAAGTTTCTCATTAATATATTTTTTTGACTGTTAGCTGCTTGTTTTATATTTTCTATACTTTCATTTCTCTGTGCTGCATTTTTTTTTTTTTTTTGAGACAGTCTCAGTTAGTCACCCCCAGTGGAGTGCTGTGGGTCACAGCTCACAGCAACCTCAAACTCTTGGGCTCAAGTGATTTTCTTGCCTCAGTCTCCCAAGTAGCTGGGACTACCTGCCACAACGCCCAGCTATTTTTAGAGACGGGTCTCGCTCTGGCTCATGCTTGTCTCAAACCTGTGAGCTCAGGCAATCCACCCACCTCGGCCTCTCAGAGTGCTAGGATCACAGGCGTGAGCCACTGCGCCCAGCCACTCTGTGCTGCATTCTGGATGATTTCCTTAGATTCACTGTCTGGCCTATGAATTTCCTGTTAGCCATGTCTAATCTGTTTTGCCCATCTATTGAGTTTTTACGTTCACTGATTATATTTTCCATTTGTAGAAGTTGTGTTTAACTATTTCTCAAACTCATCTGGCTTTTTTTCATATTGCCCTATTCTTTAATTATGATATTTAGTCTTTCCTTTATCTATTTGTCCTTTTTTAAAATCCCCCCCCTTAAAAAAAATTTAGGTTAATTTGAGGGGACATAGAATTAGTTTACAGTGTTTGCATTTGTGAGGTATAGTTCCTATTGTAGTTGTGTCCAGCCCACGGGAGAGTCCCACGTAGGTGTGCCCACATTGTGCCCATTCAGGGAGCACACCAACTCTTTGTCCTTTTAAATTTATTTTGCATATATACGCTTCCTCAGGGTAGTTTCTTCACATAAACTGCCACATGTGTTTATGAGCATACCCGTAGTAGCCAGGATTTTGCCTGTGGGCCTTCTACTGGCCCTGAATTTGGGAGTCTTTCCATAGTGTTATGCCTTTGACTTTCACCAGAGCTCTGGGGGTGATGATTACTTTAATGTCTTGGCTTAATGTTTCTGCATTATACGTGTAGCATAGATGTGGAGCTCAAAACTGCGTGCGGTTCAAGCTTGACGCTTTGTTGTGGTCATGGTCACTGTCATTTTTGTCAGCCACATCCCAAAGCTGAAGTCAAGCCTCTTTGTTGTTTCTCAGGGTTCATCCAGCTTTTCTATCACCTTGTAATGGGCAAGGTAGTTCTTAAGGCCCCTGGGTTTACGGCAGGTCTTTGTCAAGTTCTGAGACTGAATGTGCTACACCACGTTGATGTTAGAACCCCAGCTTCCTACCGCTTAGACCAGACTCGCTGCCACCTCCCATGAGCTGCTGTGGCCTCGGCCCCACTCTCAGTTCTGGCTGTGAGTTCCATGTTTCTAGAACCTGTACCCCATTTCTTTTTCTTTCTTTTGCTCTTGGTATATATTAAAATATGTTGCTAAATTTTAGCAAGGTGCTCCCTCTGCTTCAGTTTGGCTACCATGCTGCCAGAAGTCCACTGGGAAGAATTTCTTACTACCTCGTGCCAAGCTCCTTATATTTCATTTTGTCTATTTTCCTTGGTTTGGTCTTAGAGATTTTTGTCTTTAGAGGAAAAGAAGAAAAATGCTGGGTCATCACTCCAATGGCTTGTCATTCCTTGCCTCCTTTATCTAGTATTAAAAAATCATGCCCTCTAGAAATCCTTTGACAGGCAGCTGGGAGATAACGAATCCCTACCTTTCTTCAGTGCTAATAATTTCTCGAAGGTAGTAAAATATATTTATGGACCAACCATTTTCAAGGGCTGAAAACATCAGAAGGAATTTCATAGTCAGTCGGTTAAATAATGACCAGGATATAGTAGAACATTTGGAAATAAATGGAGACTGTCATGAAGTACTCAGGTGCTTTATGGCAATTTATAGCTTATGATAAGAAAAGGGGGGAGGACGCTTTAGGGGATTATTTCTACTCTCGAAATCCCCTCATCTCTAAAAGAGTTTCTGATTGGCAACAATGACTTTGTGAAAGTGACCTAATTTTTCAAAGCTTTTATTGGTTTCCCTGATTCTCAAGTTATTTTGCAGGACAAAATTTTCAATGGCTATTAATAAAATAAGTCTGAGAGTATGCCACCTAGCCAGTACCGCCCCACTGACTGTTTTCTACTGATGAGTATTACTCCACTAAACAGCTTCCTCCCTTCTAGATTTATGTTCATATGCACTCAGAAACGAGTCGGACCAGATGCTAATCTGCTCGCCGTGCACTGTGACAGGTGCACCGTGACACTCCACATGGCACTGGCTGCTTTGGAGGTGGGGGGGTTATACTGAAGAGGTGGGAAACAGCTAGAATTGTTCTGTTAAGATGAAAACCAAATAGAAACCATAACTTCAGCCCACCTGTTTGTTTGACTTGGCAAAATTGATCCCGACACCTCGGACCATGGGCCCTGTGAAGCCTACCGGGCAGGCATCACATCTGAAGCCAGGAGACAAGTTCACGCAGCGCACGCCTGGGTAGCAGGGATGGTATTTGCACTAGAGACAGAAAAAAAAAAAAAAAAAGTTCAAAGTCTTTTTTTTTTTTTTGAGACAGAGCCTCAAGCTGTCCCCCTGGGTAGAGTGCTGTGGCATCACAGCTCACAGCAATCTTCAACTCCTGGGCTCAAGTGAGTCTCCTGCCTCCGTCTCCCAAGCAGCTGGGATTACAGGTGCCTGCCACAATGCTCGGCTATTTTTTTTTGGTTGCAGCCATCACTGTTGCTTGGCAGGCCCGGGCTGGATTCGAACCTGCCACCTTAGGTGTATGTGGCTGGCACCTTAGCCACTTGAGCCACAGGTGCTGAGCCAAAAGTTCAAAGTCTTTAGCCACACAAACACTCTCAAAATTTTATTCATCTATTTGTACATGTTTGTTTAGTCATTTAACTATATTTTGGTGAAAAAAAAAAAGATAGAAGGAAATAAAGGCTTCTAACTCCCTAGTTACCCACTGACTCCCAGAGCCACACAATCTAGGCTGCCTTGGAGCAGGCTTGGCAGTATCACAGAATAATGGCACATCCAGGTGGAAAGGGTCCTTGATATTAACCAGCCTTCCTCCCAATGCGAGAGGCTCCCTGGTGTTCTAACCTGGATTCACAAATCTCTGTGAAAGGACTGTGTGCCTGAACCATTTGTCAGCTGGCTGTTAGGTGACTCCAAAGGCCTTAGCCAAAGGCGACCTACTCTAATAGAAAGACCTGGAGCAGACAAAGCCAGCGCAGGGGTTTCCTCAGCAAGGTGTGGCCATGGGGGTCTGTGCCTGCCGTCATGCCCTTTCAAGGGCTATTCCAAGGCTCTTGAAATCTTGGAGATTGGTTCTGATCCTTTTTTTTTTTTTTAATTTTAACCACTTCAACTAATGTAAAAAACATCATGACCACTTCCTGTTCTTTCAAATAAGGAAAATTCCAATTCCCAGATAAAAACCAGATGCAGTTCTGTGAAACGTGTACAGATGTTTCTCCAATTGAGGGATTACTAGAGACCATATTAATTGCTTACTACCAGGGAAGGAAGGCAGCCAGGTGCTGCTTCGAGCCCGTGGGAGCCCGTGTGTGTCCGTGGGCACCTCCCTCTGCTCCTCCTCCCAGCCTTCCTCTGGCTGGCTGAGAGGCAAGTGCTGGTGGCAGCCTTGCTACCTGGTATGGTTACTGAATTGCCACTGGACTAGTGACTGGCTAACTATGGCCTTGAAACAGTCTCTCCTGGGGCTCTGCCAGCCAAGCAGCCCATATTTGCGGGATCCTGCTGGTTCTACCTCTGGGTTACAGGGCCTCCCCAATGGGGCTTGCTGGTGTGAGAGCCCCCTCTGCTCCTTTATGTAGGAAGCCTGAAGAAATCTATTATAAGCCCTGAAATATACCTTTACAAAAGTCCTCTCCTATGTTCGCAAAATCATGGGAAAAGCAAAATTGTAACATAGACTGCTTAAGAGAACTAATCAATGTGGATGTTGGGATGTAAAGCAGAAATGTCAGCATCGTAGCAACACGGACTGGGGGAAGAGTTGGAAACAGAGAGGAGGAACAACACGCACAGCCACCCGTGGGTGTCAGGCCTCCTTCAGCCACTCACTGCGTCTCGGGGTCCTCCAGGGATTTGTAAGGACGCAGTTTTTATGGAGCCTGGAGGGCACCCCAAGGCATCCCTTATTCATCAGCTCGGCTTTCCCCCATGTGCTGAGGGTGCGGAGGAGACTCAGGGAGCCCCTCCTCTGTCTAGGTGAACTTTTACCTCATCGACATCCGAACAGGTGATCCCATTTCCCGTGTAGCCCTCGGGGCAGGACCCACACTGGAAGCCATCTCTGGTGTCAATGCATTGGACGCCTTGGAAACATGGGTTGGAGTCACACCGGCGTGGTGCACGTGTCGGTGGTGCCGGCGGTGCTGGGGGCACCAGTGTGCTTGGGGTTGGAGCCTGAACGGTGAGTGGACCTAGAGAAAAACAGGAATGCACAGGCTCATTCACCATCTGGAAGATATACAGGACGCAAAATGAAATTTGCTTTCCCCTTCCCTCCAGCTTCACGGTGAACCTGCCGAAGCCTCAGGCCTTTCACCTGTCTGCTTTGTCTGACTCAGAATGAGCCCATTTCTAGAAATGCACTTACCGCAAGCCTGGCATTCAGCTATGGTGTTTCGCAAAAATGTTGTTTCTTTGACCTTTAAAAATGAGAAGAGGGAAAAAAGGATTGAAAAGGAGTGCCTGGTGTGTTCCCGAAATGAAGGAATCCTTGGGTAGCTGTCCCCATCACTCTTACAGCAGAGCTAACACACTACACTTACACATAGAACCACCCTTGGCGGTTCCTGCTCTGCTTGGAACCATGCTGTATTTGTGACAAGCTCAGGCCCATTTCCAGAGCCCTCCTAGTAGAGCCCTGGGGTGGGGGGCTGCGTGGACCCCTGATGTCTGCCTCAGAGCCTGCCTTGCTGCCTGAGCAGGCCTGCAGCTCCGCCAGCTTGCACAGGTTGCTGCTGGGGCTTTTCTGATGACACGTCCTGTTGGTTACCTGCTGTCTCAGAAGGTCCTTCACTTCTCCCAGAAGTTGGTTTAATTGTGTCATTTGACCCAAGAACTGACGATTAAAGTCTCCTGTAGGAACAGCAAAAGGCAAGGAGTATTCAGCTGGTGACTGTCATTTCTAAGTGATTCAAAACCAAACGCTTCCCCAGAGAATCACCTTGACAAGTGATTCAAAAAGTTAGGGTATCTGAATTTGGGGTAATTCCTCTGATTCACCTAAAAAAAGATAATGATGCCACTGGCTAATTAGTTTAGAAAAGAGTTAGAAAAATAAAAGTGCAATGAAAATATTCCTTGTCCCAGACTTTGCACAAGAACCTGGATTCTAGATACGTTCTGCTGGGACCCTGTTCATTCGGGGGACGTGGGGTTAGTCTGTGTTGTGCAAAATGAGGTGTGCAAAATGCCCAAGGGCTCACCACACCTGTGCTTGGGGTGGCCAGGGGCTCGCTCTGCTGTAGGAAGCAGTCTTGCAGTCCCGCTGCCTGGAACAATGAGCCTCTCACCACCAGCTTCAGCTCCTCCAAGAAGTCCTGGAAGAAATCACATTCACACCATAGGTTGCTGAGCTATTCAGGCAGTTTTCATGATAGAGTAGCCCCGTACACTGGGATTCTGACGTCTTACATAATTCTGTAGATTCACATTTTCCCTAAAGCTGGCCGGCCAGCCTGATCTTTCTGAAGTGAATGTGAAAGTGACAGTAGCCTAGGACAATGTCTGGCCTGAAAGTTCATCAAGGTGGCCGAGAAGAAAAACGGCTATTTTCCTACATGGTTAATGAGTTATTTTGTAGCAGGAGAACTCTTAAGAATTGTCTGAAATTTTTTTAATGACGTTTAGACTATAATCAATAAGATATTGATCCTAGTTTTTTTTTTTTTTTTTGAGACAGGGTCTAGCTCTGTTACCCAGGCTAAGTGAAGCAGTATCCTTATAACTCAATGTAGTCTCAAATTCCTGGGTTCAAGCAATCCTCTTGCCTCAGCCTCCCAAGTAGCTGAGATTATAGGCATGCATTATCGTGCCTGGCTATTTTTTTTTTAATTTTCTAGGGACAGGGTCTCACTACGTTGCCCAGGGTGGGCTTTAAACTTCAGGCCTCAAGTAGTCCTCCTTGCTGAGATTATAGGCATGACCCAACACGTGTGGTGTTTGACCTCAACTGTGAACAGTATTGTATTAGGACGTGTTAATGCCACACTTTAGTAAAGGCTTTGATTTCCACGGGCTGTGAAAACGAACAGTATCTTCTGTGATCACTGGGGAGGTGATATCATATTTTTATACTACTAGTTGATATCAACTATTCATTGTTAGTTGAAAAGTCAATTTCTTCACCCTTTTATGTTGTAACTTCTATTTGTACTCCTTTCTACTGTACACATATTACATGTTTATGACAGAAAAAGTTTATGTTAACTGCCAACGTAAAGTCACCATTGTTATTTCGGAAATGAGCATGCTGTGGATTTTCAGAGAAATTCTACTTTTCAATTTTGCTAAGATTTATGCATCACGTGCTACGTAACAGATATTGTGCTGGACATTAGGCTATAAGCTCCATGGAGGCCACAGTTGGTTTTGCCCTTCACGGTATCCCTAATACCTAGAGCACTGAATTTTAACTGGTGTGCCAAGGAACACTGGTGTGCCATGAGAGGATCTTAGGTATGCTGTGAGAATTTTAAAGATCATTAATTATTTTCAAAAGAAGTTCAAAGCACAGTAAGTGTATTCTTTTTCTTACTCTTTTTTTGGATCAACATAATTTTAAGTGTGCCATGGAAATTTAACTATAGGTTCAAGTGTGCCATGAGATAAAAAAGGTTGAACAACACTGGCCTAGAGTGTGCCTATTTGTTGAACGAGTAGGTGACCATGAAACTGACCCAGTGTGACCCCTACTGATAGTCTAAGGAGGTAGAGCTTCTGAGAAAATTTTAATGAGTATAGTTTCTAATGACCTTGTCAGGCTGAGTCCTATTTTAGAGATTGACTTATTGGGTGGTAGATAACTAATTTCTGAAATAATCTGTGACACAATGTTGACTGTCTTTCTGATTACTTGGGCTACTTTGGGGATTCAGAGATAAGGTTCATATATCTTTCTATTCATTAATTTTTCTATATGTAAATCTACATTAAAAACCTCTCTCTCTGCAAAAGCAAAAAAATAATCCAAAAAATAAAAAAACTTTGGATTTTTTCTTTCTTGGCATTTCTGCTTTAAAATGCTTCCTGTTGTTTAAGCACAAAATTCTAGAGTTAGAGTCATAGTTTTTTATACTACTATCTAAAACCTCACAGCATTCCTATATATAATGGAAATCATTGCTTACATCCTGTCTGTACAAAGGGCTCAGAGAAGCTTGTAACCAAAGCATATATATGTATAATGAAATAATAAAATAGAAACAGAAAATAAAGATTGAGAAATAGAAGACAAAAAATATTATGGGCCATAATAGATGGACACAGTTACTGACTTTGACATTGACTTCCATATCAGATACAATTCAGGAACTATTACTAGTTAGGTATTATTGGAAACGACAAAGAATACTAGTTTTATTATTATTATTTTTTTAAATAGGAAATAGCATTTTCTGGCACAAAATCCTAAAAGAAATGTATGAGGCAATTTCTACAGCAGGTGCAATGATATCATAATAATAAAAAATCCCACCATTAACATGGTATAAAACAGAAGACAGTAGTGATGGGATTTTATTTTAAGAGCTAGCAATAGGTTCCTTTTTGTTAGTGGATACTCTGACGAGACCTATGAAAAATGCTGTTCCCAGTGCTATGCAGTTTCTAATGATTCTTTTTAAAATTTTCATTAAAAGTAATAAGTAATATCATAGAAAGTTGAAAATAGATCATGCTATCATCCTCTTATTTTTGCTCTTCTTTTCCAACTTTATAATTGTATCTAAAATCGTTACTAATCAGTGAAAGCAGAAACTCTCAGTTTAAGCTTCACCTCAGAATCAGTTTTTTTTTTTAAATGCTGATACCCAGCACCACCACCCAGATTTCGATTCAATTTGTCTGGAGGGTGGCCCTCTAGCAGTTCTTCTCCAAGCTTCGCAGGTGCTTCGAGCACTTGGCCAGCATCAAGTCTTGGCACATTTTTCTGAAGACACTGCTTTGCTCTCCCTAGGCCCTGGCTGCCCATCTTTGCACTTCGGAGAATAGTCTGTGGGTTCCTACCTGTGGCTTCCTCTGGAAAGTCCTCAATTCAATGGACTCAGGACTCTGGGAGAGGCCAGAAAAGGCTCTGGGGAGATTGTGAACGGAATCCACTTGGGTGCAGTCCAGGTAGAGCTCGATGGAACCAGCTCCTCGCTGCAGATTGGTCATTCTCAGGAGGACCCTGTGCCGCCTCCCATCTGCCAGCTGCAGGTTGTTGAAAACCACCAAATGGATCTTCCCATCATTCTTCAGGTACCGGAGGATGGCTGGAACCAAGCATAGGCCAATGAATGGTGTGATGAGCGGGAGAAGAGTGGTCTTGTGCTGAACGGCCTCTTGGCCACAAGACCGGGTGGGTCTCTGGAAAGAATGTGAGCAAAACACAGAGAAATTCTGACTGGCTCACCAGTCAGAATGGAGTGGAGGTACTGTTAAACTCTCATTCCAAGGAGCTCACTGTCCTCTGAGGATGTTCTGTGCTGATGGAGAAACAGAGAATACATAGCAAATTTGAAAATAAACAATATGATTTCAGAGAACAGTAAGAACAATGAGCAAGCAGAACCCCATCAGAAAGTAAAGCAAAATCTAAGTCAGATCCCGAGAGTATTAATCCATTAATTCACCAAACGTTCTCAGAGCTCTGCCTTGGCCCTGGGGGATGTCCTTAGGGACTTAACATACTTAATTTTCTATTCATTGCAACCCAGTGTTATTGGAATAACAATAAATGAGGAAAGTGAGGCTCCCTTAAGTGAAAGTACTTGCTCAAGGGCATAGGAAATGGCAGGCCTAGACACTGAAGCTGAGTGTGGCATCTTCCAAAGGAATGCCAGGCACTCGTAGGCCTTTGTACACACGCACATGTCATATGAAGGGTGATCTGTCACACTGTCCCTAAATTTAACAATGCTCAGTTAGAGAAAATGTATCCATGGTCACAAGAGAAGGACTGGGAGGGAAATCCACAACCTTCTTTTCTGTTTGCTTTTTATGTGGGTATCTACTCACATATCCTCTTAAACTCACTCAATGAAAAATCATCCTGATTATAAGCTTTGTTTTTTTACTTGACTATTGCCTTGAACATAAATCCATTCCTGCAAGCCAACCCTTTGGGAGCTGAGCTGAGGTTTGCTTGAGAGACCAAAGTGATTTGCTTTCAAGGTCTCTGTGTGCAGGACCATCCACAGGTTTTCTCAAACCGACATTCATCACCAGAAACAACCCTGGGAACAAGGTCAGAGGCTGACTGCAAATACTGCTGGCTAAGTGAGGTGGTAAATATACCACTGCTCCCCAAAGCTCTGAGTGAAAGTCTTCATCTGCCTGAAGGTGGGAAGGCCTTAAATTGGTAGAACTTTCCTGGAGGGCAATTTAGTCAGTGTATCAGAACCTTAAAGATGTAAAGAACCTCTGGCCCATTGATACCACATTTAAGAACTGAAGAATTAAAGAAAAATGAAGCACCGATATGTGTGAAGAGGAATGTTTATTTCAGAAATATTTATCACGGTAAACATCTGGCACAACAGATATATCTAAAAAGAGAGGTCTGGCTACTTAATGTATAATCATAAAATGAAATACTAGGGAATAGTTGGATATTAAAAACACAAAAAGACATTCTTTTTGTTAAGTGGGGGAAAAAAGGGTATAAGTCCACAGAATTTCATTTAAAAAAAATGTGTATGTCTATATATCATGAACATCTATAGAAAATTGAAAGAAACTCGTCAACATTAACCTGTTGGGTTCTTGACATTTTTTTCTCTTTTGGTCTTGCTCATCTTCATTGTCTAATTTTTCTCTGAGAAACATCATTACTTTTATACAAAAAGAATAAACCAGAAATGTACACGTTACACACATGCACCCAGACTGTGCTGCTGTCCGTCTGTATGTCTGGGGCCAGTCACTTGCCCCATCTTTCCTCAGGTACTTTTTCCGTTCAGTGTAGATGCCAACTTGGTGCTGCCCCTGGATTGGTGAGCCAAGAATACCTGTTTATGTTGCAGTCTTGCCCAGGAAAATATCACTACTGTGAAACTTTAAGGATATATTTTAAGCCTTTCTCCACATTAGACTTTCTGGGTTCATTTTCCCACCCCTTCTGAGCTCTGACTAGATCTGATTTTCCATTTGATTATGGTCAGAGAGAGCCAGTTGGCAGGAGGTTCTGTGATGCACAGACACAGCGGGAGGAGCCAGACAGGATCTTCTCTATGTCTATGAGGTTATGACCACTTGCTTCCTGAGAGAAGAGAATTGGTGAGATTTGGCAAGACAGATTAACTAGACGGACTTTCTATGATTCTTAGTTCAAGACTAAGTTTCCTGAAGTACTGAATAAATATAAATAAATGGCAAGACTTAAATAACTGCGGTATGAGAAGAAAATAATAGAACGGAAGAAAATAGAAATAAGTAGAAATTCTAGGGTTATTTCTAACCTGGGATACAACAGAATTTTTGCCCTTTTATATAATATTACTTGTTGAGAATTCACATGTACCCTACAAATATGTAAAACATTATCTATCAGTAAAATAGAAAAATGAAAAATAAAAAAAAATACAGATTTAAATTAATTAAAATTTCAAAAAAATTGTTGAGAATTTACAATAATTTCCTGCATGGCTGGAAATTTGAGACATATATAGTAATCAAAATACGGAGAAATTGAGCCCAGACATATGCACTAACTCAATTTTTTAAGAACTTCTATTACTTGACTATTTACAACAGTTTTGCAAATACCTGCAGTTTGTACACGCCAAGAGAAACACTACTTGGACCACCAAACTTGAATTAGGTCACACGCACATTTACTCAGTATCTGACTGTAGTTATGGCCACCATTTCTTTCTTTCTTTTTTTTTTTTTTTTGAGACAGAGCCTCAAGCTGTCCCCCTGGGTAGAGTGCCGTGGCATTACAGCTCACAGCAACCTCCAACTCCTGGGCTCAAGCGAGTCTCCTGCCTCCGCCTCCCAAGTAGCTGGGACCACAGGCGCCCGCCACAACGCCTGGCTTTTTTTTTTTTGGTTGCAGCCATCATTGTTGTTTGGCGGTCCGGGCTGGGGATTCGAACCCGCCACCTTAGGTGTACGTGGCTGGCGTCTTAGCCGGTTGAGCTATAGGCGCCGAGCCATGGCCACCATTTCTGATCCCCATATTAACTACCTAAGAGGATATACATGGAGGCTTGAAGCAAATACTCATGATTTTTCCTCCCCAAACTAATATTTTGTGAAAGTCAAAGGAAACATATTTTCTCAGGCATGTTGCCTGCTTCTAACGGGCCTTTGTAGGGCATGTGGGCCAAGGTTTGTTTTCAGAACTGAATAGTTGAGTTTAATTTTATAATAGTACCTGGTAGCGTACTTTATATACAGCAGGTGTGCATTAAACACCGACTACAAATTTTCAGTGAATTGAATGATTGCATTTAAAGATTTTCCTATAGACAATAAAGTGTAGAGAGTCACAATCCAGCCTCTATTCCAGGTAGCAAAACCTACTGTTGTGTTCACGCTCTCATTTGAGGGGATTCTATACTCCTGCCTTACTTTGCGCTGCAATTCAACCCCTCAATGACAATCCGTCATGCTCCTAGATCTGGTGACAACAGCAAGAGGAAGAAGGCAAAGAAGAATCATGGAAACTTCCATCTTCACAATGTCTGTTAGTAGAAAAATTATCAAGTGCCCTTGACATTAACCATTCTTCGTACTTGATCCAATAATTCTCGTTTCTCTTATGGCTTCCAGTTTTCATTTTTCTTTTTTATTGCAAATTCTTTCCATCAGTGCCTCTACACTTACTTTATCTTCTGAGCAGTAAGACTACCCTGGAGGCCAGGCAGACCTCTGCAGGAAACTCGGCGTTTTCCCCTCAGTCCTACTGAGCCCGGAAACAGCTGGACACTCTGCCCCGGAGCCCGCAGCCTGCCGTGGGAGCTGGCCTGACCTTCTCCGGAGGAGCAGCACGAGAGGAGGGAGAGAGCGGACACGATTCCTTCCTCTCGGGGGCCTCCCTTGCCCAGCTGTCCTCGCCCTATCTTTGCCCAGCACACACACAGCAGAGCGAGTAAGACAGAGGGGAAAATGCGATGGCAGGAAGAGACAGTCATTTTGCCCCTCCTGGAAGGAGTGAGAAGCCAGTCCCTGGAGCCACCGCAGTGCCCAGCTCCCCACACCTCTGGCCGGGTCACCACCCCAGGGAGCACCAGACGCAGGAACACAGGCTCTGGGTACAACCTTGTTTCTTCAGCTACGTTCAGTTCTTAGGCTTGGTTTTCACTCAGCCGCACAAGTTAGCTGCTGACCACAGCCCAGAAACCAGGGAGCGCGGCGCATGGGGCTGAGGGCTCCCGGGCAGCAGGTGCTCAGCTCATGGGGCGGTGGACTCCGTTCTGCTTCCCTGGGCTTCTCTGGGCTTCTCTGTCAGATTCCTGACTCACTTTCCTACTTTAGGTCTCTTTCTGCACAGTTTTTTCTCTTCTTTTTTTTTGACTGACAGCTTGAGCATCTTTATAAGACTGTCCTGATCAAGTTGTTGCCTTCTGAAGCAAGCAAACAAAATTCTTCAGCATCTCCCTTGTGGATTCTAAATGCTGTTAACCTTATCCCAGGACTGGTCCCAATCTTCCTACTACCTTGATTACCCTCCATGCTGCCCAGTCTATTTCTTAATAATTTTCCTGTATACCACAGCATCTGACAATGTCAATATATCATTTATGGAATGGAAAAAAATAGATAAAATAGAGTGCTTGTGTTCACTCTGGTTTTTGCTGCCCACCATTATACTGTTTTTAAAATGTGGGGACATTTTCAGTTGGTTTATTTACATAAATCTGTTCCCTCTAATGTAGCATTTTTGTGTACATGACAATTTTTGGCCTGGTTTAATGGCACTGTCCAAAACCCACCTTTTCATGCCTAGGTACTAGCTGGACACAGGAGCCACATAACCAAGCCGGATTAAATCCGATTTCAGTGATTGGCAAGTAGGCAGAAAACCAGACTCACGCATGAAGATTTGGAATATCATTATCTTGGGAAAGAATTTTCTTTCCTTTTTTATTTTTTTTTTGAGACAGAGCCTCAAGCTGTCCCCCTGGGTAGAGTGCTGTGGCATCACAGCTC